GCTGCCTTGTAAGTCAGGCTCTGGTTAGTCAAACACTCAGGTTGTGAATTCCACAGGAAGATTCACCTTGGCCTGGACAACCTAGCAACAGCGTGCCCATAAGCACAATATGGACCTTTTTCTCTACTATTAAGATTGTTGTGGCGTGATCTGTTTAGTTTAATGTCGGAACTCGCGTGAAAATGTACAAAATACATACTGACTATTAAGACAATGTTCCGAAGCTATTCTGAAGGTGAAACAATTATAAAAGCTACTCGGACACTAGCTACATGGTTTAGTTCGAGANAGATATACGCAACTATTCAAATTATTGACAAGGTTGGCTCTTCTAAAAGAGCTGAGCGTTAATATTTGCACATGAATGAGTTACTTACAAGATCATATCAAGAAAGGTAAAGTGCAATTCTAAGAGTGAACTTAGAACCAAATGCAACAGGTCGCTTGAAATAAAGTAATGTCGAAATTCTATAACTTTAAACGACTGCACACAAAAAATTTCCTTTGTTTTGCCTGTCCAAGTTAGGAAAAAAAAGAAAGAACATCGACGGTAAATTCCAGTTTAAAGGATAAAGTTATGGGGTCGTAATGCGATGCGCTGAGATGGCAAAAAAGCAACAGACGGACTGTCAGAAAGACTTACTTTGGCCAAACTGGCAGTGAACAAAACACATTCGTAAAGATTGGCCATCGTAGAAAGGAACGCATCAACATGCGGCCGCTTTAGTACATAGACGCGATGCGTGACTCCATCGATTTCCACACCAACTTTGAAATCAGCCTGTTCAACCATCTAGAAATAAAATGCGGAGCAACAAAGGTGGATTTATTAGAACAATCAGCATTGTGAAACACTGGTAAAAAATAAGAATGAATCGAACGATTGTGCAAAGGGGAATGAAAGTCCTTAAGAGATGTACGAAGTTTCAGCGATGAACAGAAAAAACAAATCACTCGTATGGAAGAGTAAGTTGGCGAAATAATGGAAGCCATATTTTGCACAACGAATCACGCGATAATTACTTTAATATTACACGCAATGATTTTCGCAATTTTTCTGATGGGGACACCGATTGCTCAAAACATTAAAACGAAAGTATTTTAAAGATAATTCTTTAAAACCATATTCCACTTTAATATAGATTTTCTGTGATAGTATAAATCACCTAATGTTCCTCTGCATGTTATTCTTTAAAGAGAGAAACACCGATCGAGTCATCTCAGTTGAACCTGTGAACGTACTAGCGATTCCGTATTTCTGACGTCACAAAGCTACACAATCGGTGCTCTACATTCCCATAACTCGTCTAGTCCATTGTGGCTGCGTTCTACATCGTGTTCTGATTGACCATTACGGGCGCAAACGCAAACACAGTCAAAAGTTTCAGATTTATCCTGATATCGATGGTGTAACATACGACTAACCATGTAGTTTGAGTTGAAATACCTCAAAGGGAGTTGTAGTGCGATAAAAGCATAGTCCGAGGATTTTTTCAACTACCTGAAACTAAACTATAGGAATATTCACGAACCGAAACATAAAATAGACAGAATGCACTAGTTTGGTGATTGGATATGGAACTTCAGGCGTAGGTGCAAAAAAGCCATCGGTATGAGCCGCAAAAAAATTCTGGGATTTCACAGCTATATTTAATCCTAGAGGTTCAACTTAATTCATCCTAGGAGTAAAACATATAGGCCTCTTGACCAGTAAAAATCCTTATAATTAAGCAGTTCGCCCATTCAACTGTATCCCAATTAGACGGATAGCCTGTCTCCAAACACAACGATCGTAACCGATACAATAACATAAATGTTCCTTCAGCACATTAAGAGAACAGAACAACACCAAACATCTAAAAAATTATAACCGATTATATTTTATACTTCAGTTCACCCAGAAGAACACAGCCAAACTAAGTTGTTCAACAATACATCTCACATAACGGTTCAAATTTGGCAATAAATGTGTTTTAAACAATGAGAGGCATGATATTCAATATGTTACACAAGCTTGGGAGCAAGCATGGTGCCAACGCAACAGCAGCGAAAAAAACGGTAGTTGCATACAACTAGGGAAACTCAGGGGAAACAACATTTTTATGCTTCACTGTACACCTTCTGATGTTTGTGTACTGTTTTATTGCTGCTTCCTACATGAGTATTTCAACAGACAGCATTCGCGTCAGTCTTTCGTTCGTCATATCCTTGAATGTCTCTAACAAACGACGATCCCAATCCCGCGGAATCCTATCAGACAGACAGGAAGCATTAACCGAAACAGACTTCTTCATAGCCTCAAGCCAAGCCATGACTTGAGCGCCGCATTATTTCTTCCAACCTTGTCCAGCTCGTGCGGAGAGCACGGAGAGACAAACGATGGAGGGCATACTCCAAACATCCCAACTTTCGGAGAGAACGACTATCAGTACCCGAAACACGACGGCATATCGTGTAATTGCCCACACGAAGTGCCCTCAGGCACGTGCAATCCTTCCAAGACATGGCGCTAGAATACAATTATTCCATTAGTATCTTCACTTCATAATCAGTAAGATTGACTTAAAATATGCCAGAACAATAGGAGTGCGCACTTTGGGCGCTAGTTAGAAGGCTGAGGACAGCTTTTTGATTGCGAGCAAATAAACCTCTTATCAACTTTGATTTTGGCATACTGGGTGTTTGGAAGTGATGGCAAAGTATGTCTTTTGGTGCACAATGATCATAACTCTAGGATAAACATAAACGCATGACACTATGTAGTGAAGATCTAATCTCCAGTTACCTTGAATGAACTGTGAACGAGCGTTTCGTCCAAGTCAATGACGAAACATTTCTTGCCCTTATCACATTCGTTACGCGGTCCGAGAAGCGCGTTGTGCTATAAATGGAACAAAAAATAAAGAAATCGAATGAGTTTTGCAGAATGTCGACAATCGAATTCGAAAGAAAAACAATAACGAAAACAAAACACGATCGTGGCTCACTCGCCGAAAAATTGATTCAAATCTAGGTGCATATAACAAGCTGGTGTCCACCTTTTGGATACATGTATTAAATTCATATCCCGTGGTGTCCTGAAAAATCCGTTGGGGGGATTGTTAAATTACACTGAAAAGTGATAGTATAGATACAATAGAAAATCTATATTCACCTCAAGTTGACCTGAAATTTCTGGGCCATTATGGTAAAAGTAGTGATGGCTATCAGAACCGGGAAAGTTGATACTACGAGAGCCCGAGTCGGAGCCGGCTAATCGTATCTCGGATAAACATGCAATATCTACGCGGTAGGCGTGCAACTTGCACATAGTCACTGTCTGACTCCCAATGTCCAAGAAGGTTCTCACGTTCCACCATCCCACGTGGAGGTGTCCAAAAGACTGCAACTGGCTGGTCGGAGACACTGAAAGAGATGGCGACTAACCGACAGCAGTGGCATTCTTGTTGTTATTTCTGATCAGGTCCGAATGTTTAGAATGTGGCAAACAAGTTTTCTGATGGAATGTTATGGGCCGGAAGAAGGGCAAAGGACGAGGGTTGAGTATGAAAAACCGAAGTTAAACTAAGGTTGGGATATCTGAGCAGCAGCTCATTTACCACTACCCTTTCCACTCGATGAATGAGTTGCGCGGTGCTGATTATCCTGCGCAACGACCGATGAAGCGTGGAAATATTTTTAGTTGGTACTCGTTGGAGCTTTCTGGACATGTACGGCTTCAAGCTGACCCAAAACCTACCACGTCCCAGCGCACATCTGGTTTGCCCACAACCATCATTATCGTGTGGCGAAAATCAGCGAAGCGAACTTCACTGCTTTGTCCGAACCTGCAACATAAGCCCCTACTCCACATTTCCCTCCTTTAGTCCGTGTACTTAGACAGAATACGGTACTAACTCCTAGAAACAGAGATAATTGAGGCGGCTGCACACTGTGACAGCCTGTAGGCTTCGATGACTGTGTACAATGTAAACTGTTTTAAGAATAAATAAATCCCGACGTACAGTTTAATTTATTTTCACATTTTTACGCTTATAAGATATATATCACTGGCTTGCGAACAACCATGGTGCCAATGTGACAGCAGCCACAGTATAAAACGGAGATCCATATATATAAAAATTAAGAGTGCTGAAGCCCGTTCATCTTTTCATCTCGTTGGTCATTCGCTTAAGACCCGCAACAGACGTCCCGTAGGTTAACACGGTGAACAGAGGAGCGGAGACCACAAAGAAAAACGGCACCAGAATGAAAAAGAAAACGAGTCACCACCAGAATACTACAGCTGTTTCAGTTTCAGTTTGAACAACCATTAACCATGCACTTTCGTGCGCCGGTTTTGGTTGCTGTCTTTTGGCTGCCCAATTGGATGAACAATAGGAGAAGACAGGAAAGTTGAGGGTAGAGTCGAACAGAAAACGGAGAAGTTCAGTTCCAAGAAATTGATAAGATGCAAGAACGTCACTGTTTACGACACTCATTCATACCACTCAGTGCCCCTAACCATCGGGTACGATCATCCCGAGGTCCCCAGCCAGGAGCCTAACGGAACCTATGTGATCCAGACTCCTGGTCAGGGTTGGAGACACTGAAGGATATGGCGACTAACCGACAGCAGTGGCGCTCTTGTTGTCATTTTTTATCAGGTCAGAATGCTTGAAAAGGTATGCATGCACAGTTCGATTGAATACTCTATTTGTTGACCATAGTGGTTTACTTTCTTTGCCTCCCTCCAATTAGACCCAATCCCTCTCCATCTTGTGCTTTATCACTTGATTTGTGTACATTGTGAGCTGGGCAGCAATCGATGAAGTTTGCTTTACTGCATCGCACTGTACGATGATGATGATGATGACAATAAAATCACGGTGATGTAGGCGGATGAAGTGCAAATAAATGAGGTAACATCATCGGATTTGGTGTAGAATAGCAAATGCTCTCTCATAGGTTTCTGTTCGGCGGGTTGTCAGATAGTGAGTCATTCGTGGGATGCTTGAATACCCTCGGGTTAAACAGAACTGAATGCTGCCAGGCACGTCCCCGGTTTGTGGATAGGGAGATACCTTCACCGAAAAAGGTTAGCTGTGAATAAGTTGTGGCATACCGCAACAAATAAGTATTCTCGAANAGGTTGTGGTGGGTTTTAGGTTGGTCACCTGGCTCCTGTTTAAAAGCCGCGTAAGCCCAATGACGGTGTCGTGACAAAAGTCGATGTGATTGGCCTTTTAAAACTAACGTCATTGACCCCTTCACTTCTGAGATGAGGGATTACTTTCTGCTGCCTTGCAGTTCGCACTTGGTTGTGCAAAGGCTAGAGATGCGCCCTCAAAATAAAGAACGCCGTGACCCTGTGGACGTCTCTCGTACCAAACTCCCAAGTAACTTCATGATCATGTTTTCTAATAGCTTCGTTACCCACGATACGGAGTCCCCGGTAAGCGACGCGCCCCGTGCTTCTCCAGTGATCGGAGTGCAAAGAAGGCAAACTGAACCTCCTCAACCTCTTCAACTTAGAAAGCGCCTCCACGTGGGATGGTGGAACGTGAGAACCTTCTTGGACATTGGGAGTCAGACAGTGACTATGTGCAAGTTGCACGCCTACCGCGTAGATATTGCATGTTTATCCGAGATACGATTAGCCGGCTCCGACTCGGGCTCTCGTAGTATCAACTTTCCCGGTTCTGATAGCCATCACTACTTTTACCATAATGGCCTAGAAATTTCAGGTCAACAAAGAGTGGAGTTAGCGCTGTGCCAGTGCGCCAACGATGCCCTACTCTCTTGGAAATCAATATCGTCAAGTTTCTCTGTAGCACGCTTCAAAGTGAATCCTACCAACCTCACGCTGGTAGCAGTCTACGCCACCACACTACCATCCGACAGCTTTGTGAAGGACAAGTTTTACGGCAGTCTTCAGGAGATAGTAAATCGCGTCCCCAAGAGAGACGTACTTATCGTGGCGAGAGACTGAAATGCTCGAACAGATGGGCAAGGACCCTCAACAAAACATAATTGGGAAATTTGGACTACGCCATCTCTGCGAAAGCGGTGACAGGCTAATTAATTTATCCTATTTTAACCAGCTATTTATAAACAACACATGTCTCCAGCACCCCAGAGAGCATCTGCTTACCTGGCACTCCAACGACCGTATAACATCCAACCAGATCGATTATATATTGATACGGTCTTTTCTTTTTTCTTTTACATTTTACGTCTTTTTATTGAATATACAAAAATACAATTTTCAGGAAGGGGGAAGCGGGCTGCCATTCAACACAATGGAGAAAAGTCAAGCGGCGGTGGTTGGATTCGAACACACATCCCCAAGGTGACAATTTGGTGACGTTAGCACCGGGCCACCACGTCATCAGTAGAAGATTGTAGATCGTATCGCTGTGCCGAAGCTGGTAACAGAGGTAGCTCTGATCACATGCTGGTTCGTGTGAAACTTCGCTTTCGGCTGACTACTCGTTTTAAGACCACCCTTCCAAATCGTATCAACGTGGGCCCATTAGAGTGTAGCGAGAAATCGATGGATGAAATTGAAACCCGACTGGCAAATGAGTCTGCCCTACCCGACATCGTAGCAGAATCCACTGATATGCAGTAGTCCAGGATAAAAGCTGCAGTACAACAAGCTGCACTAAACAAACTTGGTACCACAAAACGCTGCTACAAAGATTTGATATCAGAGGAAATCATCCATCTCTCAACCCTGGCCAGGGACGTTCGTCTAGCTGGCCACCACGGCTACCAACGACAGACGGGAAGCAACCCGCTCCGCAAAAAAACAGATCGACGCAACTACTGGAGCGAATTACCGATCAAGATGGAAACCGCAGAAAGTGCACGTCACTTCGGAGACCTCTTTCGCCTCGAAAGATTAGTGTCCGGTAAAAGGCAATCTTTACAACCCATTCTGCGCGACTCCATCGGGGGACTGATCTCCGATATCGACGGTAGAATGACCAGATGGGTAGAAC